GATGGCCGAAAGTCTAAGTCAATTTCGGCCGAAACCGAAGAAAAACCGAAAGTTAACTTTTCTCTTTCGGCCGAAACCGAAATTAAGCCGAAAGTTAACTTTCCAGTTTCGGCCGAAACCGAAACTTGGCCGAAAGTGATAAAATGGCCACTTTCGGCGCCGAAACCGAAGCCGAAGCCGAAATTCGGTCGGCCTCTAGGTGAGAATAAGATAGGGTAAAATCATACCCTGAAGTGTGACACAACTGGAAGGAATTTAGTTCATGTCCCGCTAGTGCTGATTTAGAGATGTCTTTGATCATTATTATGGCTAATTATGGCCAGGAACAAAGTCCAAATATCCGTAGCCTAAATATATGTAGTTTGCCGAAAACCCGCCTCTCATTATAAAGTTTAAAAAAGTTCCTCGGAATGGTTCGAACCCTCCGCATCCTCTTTCCAACATCACTGTGCTACTGTGCGAACTATATTCTTAAAGAAATCACTTCGCGTGAATTGCGTCATCACTTGGAGCTAGCCATAAAGTAATTTATGAGTATATCTTGAACTAATTTCTATAAGCTCAAATTAATGTTTAATATGGCAGAGTGGATTTTTTTTTTTTTAAATTGAAACTATGCGGAAACCCGGGATCGAACCATGGACCTTTAGGGCCATCATCCCAGTTACGTAGGGGTCATCATCCCTGTTATGTAGGGGGTCATCATCCCGGTTATGTAGGGGGTCATCATCCCGGTTATGTAGGGTTATCGTCACGGTTAATGCATTGATTAATGATTATTAAAAACGTAATAAAATGTGTGTGTGTGTGTGGAAAAAAGGGGAGGGGGAATTTGTTTGTATTTTGTCTCAGGCATCACAAGCTGGGATTTTTAATTTTTTAGTGTCCCAAGCAGCACAACATACGAATTGGAATGAGTGGGTGCATTTTGGAATGAGTGGGTGCATTTTGGAATGAGTGGGTGCATTTTGGAATGAGTGGGTGCATTTTGGAATGAGTGGGTGCATTTTGGAATGAGTGGGTGCATTTTGGAATGAGTGGGTGCATTTTGGAATGAGTGGGTGCATTTTGGAATGAGTGGGTGCATTTTGGAATGAGTGGGTGCATTTTGGAATGAGTGGGTGCATTTTGGAATGAGTGGGTGCATTTTGGAATGAGTGGGTGCATTTTGGAATGAGTGGGTGCATTTTGGAATGAGTGGGTGCATTTTATGAAGAATTTAAACGACTTCGGTAAACGCAATTCCGGGGGAGAGAATAGAATTTTTTTTAATTTGGATTAAATTATTTTTACATCCGAAAACCGACAGTCATAAAAACGAGGTCGATTTTGCTTTAAAATAAATTACACGTTTTAAACCAATGGAATGATGGTAATAACAAATGTTAAACCAAAGGAATGATTGTGCTATACACGTTTTAAAACAATGGAACGATCGTGTTATTGAAGCTATTATTTATATTTGTAACCACCTGAAAGAAAAATAAATTTGTTCATATTATTTATTATAATTGTTCATGTTTTTACTACGTAGCTGTAGTATAACGTTTGAAGACTGGAGACAAGATTAATATCACTAATCATAATTTGTCTCCAGAGTTGAGGGGGAAGGGTAGGGAAGTAAAAATTAATCATTCATACGCCCCATCTCAACTCTGACGCCCGTTATTTTCATCAATAAAACAGCATCAATGTCCATTTAGGCACCCACACTAGTCGAGTGCCAGGGGACATTGCGTCCTCCACTGCCCCTCATATCTACGCCTCTGACTAAATTTACGAGAGTCACCAATGTCACCAATTGTAGCTTAGTATGATGTAAATAAATCCAAACCTTTTAATAATAAAGGAATAATACGAGCCGAAATAGCTCAGTTGGGAGAGCGTTAGACTGAAGATCTAAAGGTCCCTGGTTCGATCCCGGGTTTCGGCAAATCGTCATTTTTTTTTTTTAAATTCCACTCTGCAATAATTTATAGATGTAATAAATGCAAAGGGTGAGCGAAGCTTATAGAAAATAGTTAAAGATATACTTATACATTAGTTTATGGCTAGCCCCGGGTGATGACACAACGTATGCGAATCGCATCCTTAAGAATAGTTAGAACCGTATCACAGTGGTGTTGGAAGGAGGGTGCAGAAGAGGGGACGATTCGTTCCAAGGAACTTTTTTTTACTTTATATTGAAAGTCTTGTTTATGGCTAAAATAGCCTTTTTATTCTTGGAAGGGGCCGGCAAAAATATTTGCTCTAACCATAACTACCATACGCATAGCCGCTGCCACAACATAGGCCTACTCGCTAGGTAGTTTTCTCGATTTTTTAAAATAGAACTAAGAATACATTTTCAAAAAATCCGGTAGCCTACTTTGGATTATTGCTGCGCCCGTACCCAAGAGAAAGTATTAAAATTTAGAGGCAGGATCTCGTGTTCTGTTCATGGATTTGTTTCTTTTCTTATTTATTCACAGACGTTTCAAAGCTGTTTTAATTAAGCGGTGCAACCAATGTGTATTTCTCCATCAAGAGGCGAAAGTAAAACATTAAAGTTTCTGCTCAAAATTTCATTTTACTTCGAAAAATTTTCATTATAACTTTAATTAACACCATTTATAAATGTGTGTGGCGAAATGCTCTATGTTTTTTCTACAGATTCGGGCACAACTGTGGCATAACATGACGTCATTGTTTCCTGTCCATAATTATTGAGATTTGTTTTATATTTAAAGATGAAATTAAAATATTGTGAAAAACGTCATATGATTACAATTTTTGAGACAGGACCGGGTGGTTACTGAGTGGTTTCTGTGTGGTTTCTGGGTGGTTTCTAGATAGCAGGCTAGAACAAGGGTTGGCACCTTAATGAATGCCCGTGGACCACTTGCAGACCGCTAAAACGTTTAAAGTGGCCCGCAAGACCTGCCGAGAACTGTAATGTAACAGCCTTTGAAAATTAATAATACAGTGTAACTTTTTTTAAACAGCAACAATAATAATCAAAGCAAATTTTAAAATAAGTTCACATTAATGAAAAATTAAAAACAATGCTGGATCTTTACCAATTTGCCAATTAAGCTATGTACTAAAAATCAACTGCCTTCAGCCATGAACCCACCAACACAGTCTAGTCATATCAAAGATGGGAATGGTCAGCTGCTCCTAAAACACCAAGATTATATAAATATTCAAGGCATTTTAAAGAATTTTTGGACTTTATACGAAACGTATTACGCAAGAGCAGAGTGGCGCAGTGGAAGCGTGCTGGGCCCATAACCCAGAGGTCCGTGGATCGAAACCACGCTCTGCTAAAGAATGTGCATTTATTTTTATTTGCTAAAGAATGTGCATTTATTTTTATTTGTAAATTTAAAATATTCATAACACTTGCCTGCTCCCTGATGTCACAGGGGACAAGATGCGTTGTTCGCCCCCTTCAACTCTGAAACTCATTATTTTCACCAATAAAATACCATTACCATCAAATGCAGTTTTGGCGCCCCAAATAGTCTGGCGCCCGATATATGTACTCCCTGTCCCTCCTTCGCTGCATCACTGAGAAAGTGTTTTCCAGAAAGATCGAGACTGGCGCAAAGTAAAAAAAATCTTATCTGGTCCCATTCAACATGCGTTATCAATAATAAGGGAAATTACTAGAAAAATCATGGGAATATGATAGGTTTTCAAATACATTCCCTGCATTATTATAAAGGTGAATATTTGTGTTGGTTTTCTGGGTTGAATTTTTGAACTATTTATATATTTTTAGTAAATAAAGCTGAACTTTGAGTCAAAAAAATAAAATTATTTTCTGATTAAATATGAAATCCCAATATAATTGAAAATTTTTAAATATGCAAGGGTTCTTAACTTTGGCCCTGTGGCCAATCCCCCCCCCCCGCCCGTTTTTTCTGTTACATCTAACTTTAAACTTTAAAAAAAACAACCAAAAAAAACAAACATTGAAATTAACAAGCAATTTAGATATGGTAAGTTGATTCATGTTCTTCCACAGAACTTAGGGGAGAATTGATGACTGACTTGGAAGTTAATAAATCAACTACTAACTCACGTTTTTACTGATTGTCAATGAAGGTGAGTAAAATTGGGATGCATCTGGTCTTTACTTTCTAAAATCTATTATTATTTTTTTTATTAAATCCAGAATATGCAGCCAATTAAGTTCAATTTTTTAATTAACACCTCTTTTGCAGTAGTTCTGAGATCCAACTTTGACTCTTGATGAATTATTAAATATATCATGAAAAAAAAAAAATTTTGAGACACTATGGTCTGTTTTCGTCTCAAATGTTTAACAACCCTCGAGGGTTATAGATTACCTGGTACGTGACATAGTACTTAGTCACACACTTAGCAGCCATTAAACAAGTTGCAGAAAAGGGAAAACATCATCAATCTAGCTTGGGAGGGGGTAAAATAATTTACTTTTATTTAATACTATTGTATTGTATAATAATAATATCAAAGACAAAAATTACTGGCCAGAACATGTCAGTTGGATTTTTTAATATTTATGAAAATAAAAACAAAACAAAATTCTGGTAAATTTTTTTTATTTGGACACATGTGATCCATCTTACAAATTGCAGTGTAAGCATAGAGTCATAGATCACCATGTGCTCAAATTAATGTATTCATAAGCAATAAAACATTTTCAAACAGTGCAAGTGTTAATGTTGTCAGAAGGCAACTAAAACGGTATTAATACTGTAAGTTTATGATGTAACTCTATGTGTAAAGAGGAGCCCATCCCAACCACTGATATATAAGGAACACATTACATGATTACATAATTGTTCAGTTCTTCATAATTTGTTCACTCAAATCAACCACACAATAATTATAAGAATTTAAAAATAATTAAGTAAGTTAAAATCATGCTTTCAGACCTATTGCTGCAAATAATGGATATCAAAATCAACATTTTAAAAATGCAGAAAAAATGAGGAGATAGGGGGCAGGCAGTGGGGACTATTTTAACAGCCTTTGGTTGAAGGCTATAAAAAATTGTTTCAATTAAATGTCATAAAATAATTATAATTATAGGGTTTCATTTAAGGTGGAAAAAACAGCTTATTTCCGTTTATTTTAATTTAATAAAATATTCTTTAGTGTCTTAAATTGTTCTTCTGAAATGTCTTGTCAAAAATATTGGTTAGTTTTTCAAAAATTGGAGAAGTTATACAAAATCAAAATTATAGAAATCAAACAAAACTAAAACATCTGTAAAATAAGAAACAATAAAATTGTTTCTAAGTGTCTTGTATCAGAATACAATTTATATAAAAAGCATGCACATTGAACCTCCTCTTTTCTTTTAATATTAACGTTTCAGAAATAGTAATATTCTATAACATTTCAAATGTTTTATATTAGATCTAAATAGACAAACTTTTGGTTAATTTACAATTCAGTTTCCTTTCAAATATGTACATTTTTTCACAATTGTGTAATTATATATATATGTTGTGTGATTTAGAAATGTGACTTTTCATTTCTTATTTGTTTGCAAGAATCTAAAAATAGTGTTACCGGTACTATAAGTCTTTTTAGCTCACAAACAGGGAAATATAAATTAAAACAATGATGAATAGTCATCTTCCAATATATTAAACTTAGAAAAAGATTAATTGGATAAAGGTAGATAGGAAAAACCAGAAATGTTTTAATAAAGCTTTATGTCAATTTCCTTTGTAAATATCTTCTAAAACACAAGTAAGCACAGTTGCTAGAAACATAATATTTAAATAGTTCAATAAGTTGACATGTACTATTTCATAATTTATGATGCATTAGATTTATTTCATAAGATAAATAATTGAATTTTTTTTTTGTCACGAAAGGTAACTCGAAATTCTATTTCAACCAATGGCAAACAAATCAAATACATCACCACAGACAATGAGCATTTTATATATGACATTAATGGAAAAAGCTGACGGATATGCAAATGTTTTGTTTTTAAATTGTATTATTGCATTAAACAGATTCTTGCCTATTTCAGTGAAACAAATCTTAACAAAACTGTGAAACAGGGAACTAAAGAAAAGGGTTAGTTTTCTTCATGAAATGTTGACTGCATGTGAAGAAAATAAATTAATAACTTTGTTAAATCATGCATCTCGGCTGGTAACATTCACTTCCAATTGTTACTTTTGCCAATGTATAAACTACAAGTTGTCTTTTTGCAAAAGAATCAAGCAAGCGGTTTTTATACACTTTGTCTTTTCATGTCAAGAAATGCTTCCCCAGTCCACAGCCATTGCTAAGAATGAGCTTCTGTCAGTGAGAATATCTCAGGTTTGTATCTCTGCTTGGCTATAAATTCAAAGCGATCTTTCTTTCTCTGCTCAAAGTCCTCCATCTGAAAAAAGAAACAAAGGATTATTTTTATGTATGGGTTGCTTCCAAATTTTTGTAAAACGGAGTAGCTTTCCCATGGACAACACATACTTTTTTAAATTTGGGTTGGTTCCCAAATCATGTTTGTTGTTTCTAAATTTGATTCTAGTAAGGTAAGTAGGACTAATTAAAAAAAAAAACAATAATTAATTATTCTTTTAATGTATTCTTTTAATCTGAATAATTTGCTTCCTTTCAATTTACGGTATAATCATCCAATCCATGTTTAATTGGCCAAGACATGGCATCCACATATGACTTGAAAGTGGATATGATATGAACCAACATATTTTGCTCTATTCTCTCCGAAAATTAATCATTTTTTCCTACATGGTTTTACCCAATAAATGCATTTTTTAACCAACGCCACTAAATCTGGTTTCATCACCTTGTTTTTCTATTTCTTTATAAAAAGCAATAAATGGATTTTGAAGGAGTTAGAATGTTTTCAAATGTATATACATGTTTTCTAAAGTAAAGGAAGTTATTGTAAAGAAAGTAGTTAAGGATAATTGTTAAATGAAATATTTAAATAAATCCATTTAAAATTTGAATTTAAAAACAAAAATTCAAATGTAATATCTTGCCCTTTTAGATCCTCACCTGATCTAAAAGCTCTGAAAACTCCTTGTCAAAGACACTTCCATCTCTAATATATTGCCTTCTAATATTGTTTCTATATGGATGTAGATGTGATACCAAAGTCTCCCATTTAACATTTTCTGGTCCTATGTCTCTGATTTGACACATTTTGTTCTCAATGTATTCTACTGGATTTTCTGGGCGCTCCAACATTAAAGAGCTCAGCAATGATTGAAAGAGCTGAAAAGGATTGTTATAGTGAATATTACAGCATTATTATAGATCAGTTAAGTGTTGGCACACAGTAATGCAACAAACTAAATTCAAGTTACTGTGAGTTTGTGCTAGGGCAGAAGTCAGCTCAGCAACCACCATGATTAAATATGGCTCTAATTATTATTAAACATACAATTTTTAACTAATTGTTAATTCCATTTAAATAATGGGCCATGGCCTGCAGCTCTTAAACCATTTTCTCAGTAGATATAATTAAAATGCTTCTTCACTCAAAAATGTTGCAGACCCTACACTGGGTAAGTAAAGCACCAGCTTTTCCCATCTTTAACTCAAATAAGATTTATAAATGTCGGTTGTTTAAAAAAAAGTTTACTCTTATATTATTAGTAATGCATTTTCAAATATAAATAAACAACCGCTTTTAAAAAAAATTATGTGATATTAAAAATCAGCTGTCAGGCGGTTATGGCCAAAGAGATTCTGGATTTGTTTGCTCTTCCAAATTTACTAACGACCTTTATCTATGGTACTAAGACTGACACAGCATGAAAAAGAAAAGAATTCAGATTACAATTACAGTTTTTACAATACCTGTGGAATTTTGTGCTCTTGTAAATACTTTTTTGTTTCTTCTCTCACAGACATGTTTGAGATTCAAAATTCACCAACCAAAGAACTGAAATGCTGAAAATGGTTAAAGTTAAATACTAATATAGTGTGGAACAATTTGTTGCCCCTTTAAATACTAGTTGTAGCTAAGTTCTTTTGATGGTGAAACTTGCTGTTTCCTCGTTTGTTTGTGGCCATCCGTAAATGACCTCACGCAAATTTTGCCAATTTTTTACCCCCCATCGTCTCAAAAAGTTAACCTCAAATATAATATCACAAATCTCTGCACCCCTCCCCCTATAAAGAATCCCTCTGTCCGCTATCCTCCTTTACAAACCCTTAGAAATTCACCTCCCATGGATATCAAATTACTGCAGTTGTGTCAGAAACATTTTACTAGAACAGTGGTTCTTAACCAGGGGTAAAAGTACCTCCCAAACCCTGATGTGTGGAAGACCAGAAAATTGTATCTGGTGCCATTGCTATTTGTTGCTGCTTTTTAAAAAAAATCAATTTTTATGCATTTTGATTAGCAGCAGCACATGTTTTTCTTGTGATTACTTTTGTGCATTGCTTGTTTTTGTTGTTTTTTTCCTTATTTATAAAAGTTAATTAAATGAATAAAACTACGATAACTAAATTATTAAATTATTTTCATTGAATAACAATATTGTTTATATGGTGTGTGGGGGTGGGTGGTTTGGGGGTGTTTAAAGCAGAGTGGGTCTGCAGCACTGCAAAAAGGTTAAGAATCTCTTCCCTAGAGCATTTACTAAGATCACCCCCAATGCTCCATCTGGGTCAACCATTTGTTTCGTTCCATCCCACTTCAAATGGTAGTCCTAATTCTACGACTCCCGTCTCCACATTTTGACATAAATTCTCTCCCCTGTCAATGTTCCTACACCCATTTTCTCCTCCTCCGTGGCATGCTGTGACTTAATCAGAGGCCATTTTTTCAAACCTTGCATATCCGTACTGATTCTCTCAGTGATTGTAGTTTAAAAATAAAATAATTATAATTGTTGTATAAAAGAATAAGGTTAAAAATGTATGTAATTTAATGTTATTAAATGCAATCTTTTACTATAATACTCCACTTTTCATGTGATGTTACATTGCTTAAGTGTCATTTGTTTGACGTAATAGTTAGATTGTCATTTGTTTGACGTAATAGTCAGATTGCCATTTGTTTGACGTAATAGTCAGATGGCCCCTTTGCTTATCAGAGTGGAGAGGAAAGAAGTTGGCATTGGCATGATGTCAAAGTTGTGAAAGCTCCCTAAGTTGTCCTATGTCTAAGTAGCTTGGTCTTGACTAGCTGCTTCTCCCTTATCAAACAAAAGATTTCTTATAAAAACATTATTAAACTGACAATCAAAGTAACTGGTCCTTCAAAATGATTTTAATGCTTTGAACTTTGGACCTGGGTTCAGAGGATTAGCAAGATCGTATTAATTAATATTATTTCATATTCATTCATATATTATGATATATTTATATACTTTTGAAAATGTCAATTGGTAACCTACTTCCAATAGCTTCTAGGGAGCTATTTTAAGTAAACTACCAATAGCTTCTAAAGAGCTATTTTTACTCCAGCCAATCAAATCAAACCTAATTGGAGCTTTAAAAAACCCTTCAAATGATGCTGGCAAAGTATTGACCCGTTCATACTAGTGACAACATCTCGGCCTCGGCACTTATTATGAAATCTACAGTACTGTTTTAACACTGTGCGCTGTAGCCTTCCTCCCGCTCAGATTTGGCTATATTGCTATATAATTATAATTTATAAAATAGACTTAACATAGATAGCTGTATGATACTGGGGGAAGGGGATCATCTGTCATAGTCTAAAAAAATGTTACCCAGATTCTTTTTTGCCAAGGCAAAAGTAATGTGTGCAGTAAAAATAAAATCCAGATGTAAAAATTTTTTGTGTGCGAATTATTACGATTAAAATTATAAATTAAAATATAGGCCAATTTTACGCTTCTGGTGTGACTCGTGGACTGCTTCCATTTCTGGCTGCTTCCTATTCAGCATACTTTGTATTGAGAGTAAATTACTAATAATTTTATATTTTTGAAATAAAGTATTTGTTCAACAACGAGTTCAATAGCGTGCAAAATATAATTCCCGATAACTATACTAAATGATTTTTTTTATAATGCTAAAGCGTTCATGAGAAGATAAAATGTGTGTAGTGACGTATCATGGAGGGAAGGGGTATAGCAAAAATTGGGATTCTTAAATGTGCATTACTTGAGTTCATTTTTTGTCAAGTAACTTTAGTAGATGGGAAGTTCACTCATCACTGTCACCAATGTTTGGCAGGCTATATCTATTATGTCTATAATAACCATAAGAATAGTTTTACTGCTGCATATGAAAACAATTGTGTAACTTAAGTTAAATGAAACTGTACAATAACGTGATTAGGCTTAAAGATGATAACATAAGTTTAGGCCTAGGCCAATCTTTGTTTAGGAACATGGTCACATGACAACCCCACCCCTCCTTGTTATTTATTTTCCATTGGGAAATTGGTCTACTGAGTATTATTTACACAATTGAGTAATTGAGCCCTCTTTAACTTATAAAGGCATTGATATGTTTATGTTCATTGGGTATATTGTGCATCTATAACACAAATTAATTTAACATCTAGGAATCACTATTTACAATTTATTTTTTAATTCTATGTAGAATCAATGTTTTAAACTGCACAGAATCTTATTAAAACATAAACAGCGATACATAAAATAAAATATATACAAAGAAAGAAAAATAAGTGTAATGTTAATAAGTCTTGAAAATCCGATTGAAGTGAATTTACAAGACTAGACAAAAAAATAAATGTTGTCGGTACATGTTTTTTTTAGCAAAATACATCGTCATAAGAATAGTGATTTCAGTGATTTAATAATAATAAAAAAATAGTGAATATCAATAGTGCCAACACTTAGACTTACTTGACTTAGTACTGCATTACATTCACTACATCAATCTATCCCCAATTGCCAATTGGTAGTTTTTTTATATTTAAACAAATAGTCTTTAACTTAATAGCCCCCTAGAGGTAAGTGCAGGGCTTGTGAAAATGAAAAAGTAAAATACTGGTAAAAAAAAAATAGATTAGTGGGCTAATGCAGAAAATTTTTGAAATTATAGGGATACATTTAGGGTTCAGATTAGGTTTAGGGGTACATTTAGGCATTTAGGGTTCAAGTTAGGTTTAGGGATACATTTAAATTTAAAGGTAAATGTTGAGATAAATTTAGGGTTCAGGTTAGGTCTAGTGAAGCGACAGTAAATTTTGAAAGTTCACGGGCCGCGGCAACCAAACAATAATGCAGCTGTGTGATACGACATCATACTGTCTGCATTTATCAGGACATTTACCTATTAATGCCGATTATTGATTCATAGAGTTAATAGTAACTAACCAATCTAAAGTTAAGGGTTTAAAATCAAAACAGATGTCAAATTATTATCCTTGACAGCCGCAGATATTGCATAGGACGATTAAGAAATTGTATGGGTAAACAAAACTAATTACCTATTTCATTGAAGAAAACAGATGACACTTGATCGGACACAAAAGTGTGAGGTATTCTAACCAATCATTTATCCAGCAATCAATGTCATCGAGATGCTGTTACCATAGCATTATGACGCGTATTAAAACGGAGCTGTGAAATTTTTATTTGCGCACACCACAGTGCTATTCATAAGGTAATATCCCTAGATAGTATCAAATATTGCTATTTAAAGGTCAATTTATTATTAAATTGCATACAATGATACAGATTAGTGCTAAAGCCAAGTGTTGAAATGCTTTAAAGTTTGTGTTCTTTAAAAGAGTTTGAATAATTATTAAGTTTGCCACTTAAACTTAAACACGAATTATGGTAACGAAATGACAATGACACACTTAACTGAATAGGTTCATTTTTAATATGTGATTATATATTATATATGTCGCAAGATTTTGATTTTAATCTAAAATGATAGATTCTATGTAGAGGGTGGATACATTTTTAACTTCGAAATATGCTTTAAAATTATATATATATATATATATATATATATATATATATATATATATATATATATATATATATATATATATATATATAA